GTCCCAACAGCCGGTTTAGGGTTTAGGTTTAGGGTTTAGGGTTTAGGGTTTAGGGTTTAGGGTTTAGGGTTTAGGGTTTAGTCATACAATATGGTATGATAGAAAACGATATTCTATAATATGTCACAAGGGCTTATTTGGCTTTGTAGGGCTTTGAAATGTGGCTTCGGAAGGGAAAGCAATCAACAGAGTTACAGAAGGATTTGTGTAGAGGGTTTAAGCGGGGTTGAGGCTTCTATACCGTTTCACCAGAGCTTGAAGGGGTTCACGGGGCTTTCTGGGGCTCTACACGGGCTTTGGTCCGGATATTTTTGCCTGACTGTCTGAAGTTTTACTTTCATGAGGGTTCTTCTTGTGGGTCTTAGCCAGGGTACCCGAAGGAGAACCGAAGCCCTGCGATGGATCTGCGGGACACTTAAATGGTCCTATACCCTCGAAACGCGTATGCAGCCCAAACCCTGAGGGAGGCTCTAATCCACAGGTAAAATCCTACGCAGCTGGAAGCCTGATACCCTGGTCCACAGCCGAAGCCTTAAAACTCCAAACTGACCTAAACCCTAAACCCTACATCCTAATCCCAGCACGAAGTCCTAGGACCTAAACCCCACAAAGCCCAATCCTCACCCTAAGCAGTGCGTCCATCAAACCCATAAACATCCCAACTTCCTCAGTCGTCTTTCGTTAGGCTTTGCAGGCTTTGTCATGTGATTCAGGTTGGAGTTCTAGAGGCTTGTCACGAGGGCTGTTAAACAGGCTCCACTGGGGCATTCCTAACCAGGATTCCTAAACCCTAAACCTTTTGAACCGCTTTATAGGACATCCTTGACCCCAACCGAGCCCCAGGCGTTGCGCCAGCATGTGGGGCCGGAACCTCGGATGCAGCAAGTGGGCTAGGGCTTGAGGTTTTGGGTTTTGGGTTTACTGTAGGGTTTAGGGTTTAGGGTTTGGCTCCAGAGGCAGGTATGCTGTCGCCAAACGGACAGCTGAAGCACCTGCACGAGCTATCACTTGCACCCTCAGGTCAAACACATGTCAGCTCCTCGCTACCCATATCCATGTCGAAGTCATCAGCTATATCATTCTTCTACCCATCTACACCTACTGCTGCGTCTACATCAAAACCTACATGCAACTCTTTAGCCTTTATCTATTGGCCCCAAAGCCCTGTTTCCATCAAACAATATGTACCCGGTTTGCTTCTTTCATCAACCCGGGCACGCATCGATGATGGTGTCGCCCCCACCATAGATGGCTTCGAGGAATCCTCCCAACAGCGGCGTAGGCTGGATGTGTCTGGTAGGAGTCTTGTGGCTTCGGGCTTTCGAGGTTCAGCTTGGTTCATGAAGGCTAGGGTTTAGAGGGTCAGGGTTCGGGGTATTCGGATCTTTTGGTCTAGTCTAGGGCTGAGGGTTCAGAATTTACGGAGAGGGCGCAATACGTACGCATTAGCTGTGTTTCAGTCCGTGGCCGTGGCAGCACAATCCCTGAACCCCGAACTGCCAGCTCCACACTCTTGAGATCTCAAACCCTAATAGTCACAGCATGAAATATCGAGCATGGCTTTGGGGCAACTTAAGTTAAGTATACATTACATAAACATATATATATATATATGAATATACAAATAATATCTATATAGATAGATAGGTAGGTAGATAGATTGATTGATAGATAGAGAGAGACTACAAGGGTAATTATGCGAGAAGACCTGCATATTTCAGCATGCAAAGGCTTAGGGCTTGCCTCGGCAATTGCGCCCGTCGCTGTCACAACGGAAATCGCCATCCCAGTAACCTGACAGCGCTGTCTGGGTTCGTTACAAGCACTTCATGTGTCTGTGATACGACATGGTGTCAGCAGGCTGTTGCGGGATCTGCTTCTCTGAGGCTGGAAAAGAAATTTTTAAAGGCTCTGGTAAGTAGCCTCAGTATTGGGCGATGCACAATCCCTCATTCGTAGCCTCCTTACGCCATTCATTGCTCTTTCAAGCAGGGGTCTCGAGGTTTGTCAAACCAAGCCCCTAACACCCTTTATAAATCCTACAAGAACTCCTGTAAGGCACCTCCTTCCTCGACCTCTCGGCTGGCATGAGGATTACTTTGGGGTGGTTTAGGGTTCAGGGGATACCCTGAATTTCTTGAAGGCTTCGGATGGGGTCCTCTGGCACTCTGAAAGTCAAACCAACCGAAATCTAGCAGGGCATCTAGGAATCTAGTGCGTACAGACTCAAGGGTTTAGGGTTTACTTCAGGATTTAAAAGTTTAGGGTTTGGAGGTTTAGTGTGGGGTTTAGGGTCTGGGTTGAGTTATTCCTCGAGACAAACACGCCCACAGAATTTTTCCAGTAGGCATCCAGGAACGGCCCTCCAGCGGCAGCGGGAACTGGTAGGGAGCATTCCACCAGTCCTTGGCAGAGGTGCGAGGTTGGGGCCTGAATAGTTTTCTTTGGGTGGGTGGGGGGGGGGGAATAGTATACTACTGAGATATACCATATATACCTGTTATATTAAGGTTGTCTTTGGGTGGGGCGGATACTATACTACTGAAATACCTATTTTTTCATTCAATAATCAGGGATTATCAGGGAATAAGATCGCCAATTAATTATTCCGACCCAGGCATGAGAATCTGTCAGGGCTTTGGAATCACAGGCATGATGTGGCAGTTTGATTGCAGTGCGAAGATGGCGTTACTCTAACACCTTTATTCCTCTTTGTGTAATGCCGGAAGGCCAGCACTGTTGGCGCATGCCGGATTTCATTCTGTCGTAGCTGCCACGCTTTTGCTTGCAAATCTTTGCTAAGCTCCTGGGGCCGACCTAAAGCAAGTCCTGACGGCTTTTCACTTTTCGATCACCTGAGCTGGTTTACAGCTGGTGGCATCCGCATAGACACCCCCAAGTCAACCCTCCTCGCATTGCTTTCCTTGGCAGTCGTCCATACCCTCGGCAACCTGCTGCGGGACTCGGATGCTGCTGTGAGGTGTGATGTAGGCCCGGATGAGAGCCACTCAAGGTATGAGCCACGTGGCATCGCCCATGTTGCTGAACTGGCCGGCCGTCAGATTCAGGTAGTTCCGCCACCATGCATCCTAATTCGCAAAATCAATCAGCCGGGGTTTCAGTCGGCACTGAACTCACGTTCACCATTTCGTGCGACGGATCTAGACGTTGACCGCAGAGGGCAATATGATAGGGTTCTGGGGTATATCATAATCATATCTCTCTGTCTCTGTGTATATACATGCAACATACATTGCTTGTGAGAGGATAGTGTGACAGACCCCTGTTGTACAAGTTGAAGATGCAAGGCTTCTCCAGCTTGGTCTCCCCTCGGCCTGAGAGCCCCTAGAAACTCAAAATCCCAGCTGGAAATCTACCGAAGAGGCCTCGACACCCGAAACCCTGAGCTGTAAAGCCTTTACTACACCCAGCTGCAAAGAAAGACGTCCGAACTTTGACAAAAACTATTCTCGGCTGCAAGAATCATTCTTCAACCCTCAACCCTGAACCCCAACGCGTAAAGAATATCACCTGAAACCTCCTGGGATGTCGCAGCTCCTCATAGTAGACGTAGAGCTTCCTCACAGTTTCGGTGAGATTCAGCGTGGGATTTCAAGGTTCGGGTTTTAGTTCAGGGCTTGAGTATGTGTTTAGCTAGTAGAGCTTAGGGTGTCGCGGTCGGGTATAAGGTTTCCTTCGAGTGGACAACATTGTGGCGATGCCTGGCAAGCGGACCTTTTCCCCTAAACCCTAAAGCCTAAACCCCTCTCATCTTTTCTTCATCCATGGCCTTGCTTTATCCGTTCCCTTTACCCTGCTGCTTCCGAGTGTCAGGATGGCATACGACCTTGGGGCGAAGAGATCTTCACGAGGCGTCATGATGTCGTCCACCTGCGAAAGAACCATCACCGAAGCTTTGGAAAGTTACACCCTCCTTGTTGTGAGGTTAAGAATGATACCCTTTGAGATACACAGAAGCCGAGGACCGAGTCTTTTGAAAAAAGAGGTTTATGGTGTGGGTTCGCAACTTAAGTGGACATCTTGCGTTTCTTCGTCCCCACCTATCCTTCGGACTGTCCCGCGAAGCTCTACTCCTCAGAATCGTGAGGCAAGATAACGACACATCAGTGAGAGACTGCCCACCTGCAGGTGTCCCAACCAGGCAGATTCGAAACGACAGGCGCCAATGCCCTCTAAACATGCCCAGACCTTCAGCGTTATTCCACGACGGTAGCTGGCCACAGTGTGCTGGAAGCTCGGAAAGGCGGGTTGTTGAAATTCACTCTTGAATGCATAGGTATGAAATCAAATAGAAGAGTAACGCAGGTGTGCCATAGTGAAGATGCCTGATGCATGAAGGTGTCAAAGAAAGCACCCCGAACACGGTACAATCAACCTACCCAAACCGGCCTCTGCGCTGGCACTCAGCAGCCGCAGAAGCGGCAGCTGCGGCACGTTCAGGAGCACGGCGTCGGCCTCCACCTCTTGCTGCAATGCGATGCGCTGGACAGTTAACTTCTCCTGCCCTGCGCTGGCCCTACACCCAATCCATGGTTATCCACAAGAATTGCTAAGTTACCCTGTAGTTATGTGCAACAATATGATGCAAGCCACCCTCCCTCATGCTCTGGCCGTGCGCGTACAAGGTCCCCCAAACCCTATGTCCAGAATGCCACGACACAACCGCCACAATTGCGCAAAGAGCGAACCCCAAAGCTCGACACAAAGTTCCATATGCACAGAGGATTAAAAGCTTGAGCAGAATTATATTATCCTCTACCTGACTCACTGACTGTGTCCATGTTCACTAATTTCTTTAGTACGCCAGAAAGCAAGGACAGAGGCGACCCCATCAGACAGATGTTTGCAACGTTGCGGATCTTGTCGAGGTATTTCATGAAGTTGATTTGAACCCCAATGACATGTAGGTTTTGAAGTAAAAAGGTGTTTAGAACAGACGATCAATCGAGAGTCTCGCTCAACTTATCATAAAGCGCGCTTATAGACCTGAACTGCATTGCGGTAATAGTACTGCGGGAGCAGGAAAAGACAAACGGTGCTAACATCTTGCTACTGCCATGTGGTTTGACATGCAACGCCTCACATGCTCAGCCATGTCTGCAGTCCATAACAAGAGCTCCTACTACCAATCTGTCAAAAAGTCTCCGATACGGTCAGGCTGTAAGAGGCAAGACTACCTCACCAACAGGCCCTCCCTAAAACCTAGACCCTAAACCCCAAACCCACCCGTAATATGCTGCAAGACTGAAACCTACACCCTCAGCAGATGCAGGCCTCTTTCTGCCCGTCCGGGCCCTTCCTCAGTTCTCAGGAGCTGTTTTGGTATATGTTATAAGAATATTAAAGTACAATATAGTGCAACAAAATATGTTCTACTATACTATATTATAGTACAACCTGGTACAACATGGTCTAGTGAAATATTTCACGTTTACATACCGACGCTCTCCGAGATGCAATTTCTTGGGCCCCAAACTTCGACCTTCTACACATGGCAGGACTATGTGTTGTGTCATGTGGTGTGATTGTACATACCAAAACACGGTTGTATATACCCGGCTAGTGAGATCCTTGAGGCCCTGCCAACCTTGTTGCAGTGTAGAAGTTGTGATATAAAGACGCGTGAGCCAACGCTTGTCACTGTCTACAGTACATGCTTATCACTGCCTGTGGACAAGATGCGCTGTGCGTTGCTACGACGTCACGTGCTTTAGGCATCTGCGTGTAAAAGCCACAACGTCTGTGCTCTGCGCTGAAAGCACCCGCAAACCGCGCACTGCTGCAACTTCCCTGAGCCCTTCACCCTACTAAGAGCCGGAAAAACCTTCCACCCCCGAAGAAGAAGGATCTTCCTGAGGGCTGCGCATAGCAAGACTGATGCCACCTGAAAGGCGAAAGGAAGTTGGTCCGGACCCTAGACCCTAAACCCTACAAACCCTTGAAGACTGATGTAGGGACCTCAATAATTCGAACAGGGTTTTTGGGCCCCTTGTACTATAATTATATGAAGGAGCCCCCAAAAGAGTATCGGAAGCTATTCAGGCCTCTACATTAGGTTATCTCATGTAAGGATTAGGGTCGAGAGCCTCCCCAAAACAGTATAGGTAGTGACTTAGGCCCCGAATATATAGAGCCCTATTCTAGATCTCTTATAGAACCCTTTAAGGGTCCCGTTACAGGAACCCTAATTGAAGTTATTTAAGCCCCTATACCTAAACCCTAAACCCTAAACCCTAAACCCTTATATTGCATTGGGATTTGGGGCAGTGTCGGATTTTTATCGACCCTCCCCATAATTATGGGGCCCTGAATAATTCAGAATAGGGTTTGGGGAGATATGGTACTATCATTATGATAAGGAACCCCCAAAATATAGTAAGGCCCCTATAGGAACCCTAAACCCTAAACCCGAAACCCCCAAAACCCCTCAACCCCCCCGCATTCAGCCCCACAGCCGCCAAAGTCTACGTGCCTTTGCTGGATTACGAAGAAGGCAGAGACGTGTCCGTACACCATAAACCCTAAACCCTAAACCGTATACCCTAAACCCTAAACCGTATACCCTAAACCCTAAACCCTAAACCCTAACCCTAAACCCGAAACCCTAAACCCTAAACCAGAACTACCGGGCCCCGGACCCGGAAGCCTCAACCCTAAGGGTTTAGGGTCTAGGATTTAGGGTCTAGGATTTAGGGCTTAGGGCCTTAGATCCTAAAGACGACAGACCCTAAACCTTAAACCCGGACAGTCTTAAACCGCACTTAAGCCCTAAAGCCTTGTAAGACAACCTAAGGCCCCTGTAGGATCCTTATAGTACCTGTCAGCCTAAACCCTAAACCCCAAACCCGCACACCCTTAAACCCCAGCCCCCCAAACCCGAAACCCTAAACCTCTAGAGCCTGAAGGCCCTAGCACAACCGAGGATGGGTGGGGGACTTTGGCCCGATATCCCTCTGGGCACCTTTAACTAAGGGTTTAGGGCTTTGGGCTCAGAGGGAGGGGTTCAGAGTTTAGGGAGATGGCCTAGGCTTTAAGAGGTAAGGGTATAGAAGTTCAGAAGGGGTCGAATGTTGGATCATATGCTATCCCTTTATGGCGCTGGAACTTAAAAAGCTACAGATCCACATACATGCATGTGCATTCATGCATGCAGCACATGTGTACCGACAAACGAAGAAATCAGTTGAAGAATGAATAAACACAACTTGCCAATACTTTTGTAGAGGTAGGTGCATACAATCGGTGTACACATCTATGGCGGTATGCCTATAGTATTTGTATATGAATATATACACATACATACATACATACATACACACATACATACCTACCTACCTACCTACCTACCTACCTACCTACCTACCTACCTACCTACGTACCTACCTACCCACCCACCCACCCACCGACCGACCGACCGACCTACCTACGTACCTACACACATACATACATATCAATATATATATATATATATGTATATATATATATATGTACACACGTATACAGGTACACTAAAGTAGGCCCCTTGACAAAAGAACTCAGTTCCCTGATCAGGCTGAGCTCGCTGCTGCCGGCTCGTCGAAGCGAAGTCACCTAGCGATCTTGCCCAGGATGTTCAAGCAAGGCTGAAATCCAGGGCCGCAGGCTTTGGGAACTTTTTAAGGCTTCGGCAGAGTTCATGTTTGTGGTAGGTTTAGGCTGCACAGAAGTGTTTTGAGGGGGCATTGATCTTGAGACTCACAGCTGCAAGGTGTTAGTTGCGAGTCATGCGCACCCAGCACGCCATTTTGGCGAATCCCAAGTCCCAATCCCGAGATCCGAAATCCGCTCACCAAGCCCTGAACCCAAGGATCCAAACGCGAAATCCTAGTAACACCCCTGTACACGCCTTACACCGCCATTATAAGTTCGGACTTTACGACAAAGCGTATATGGAGAACCCCCAAATCCCAGCCATGCCCCCTGTTCAGCTTGGAGGATCATGGGACTTAGCAAGTAAGGTTGTAAGTCCCCAATTTGGTGTTATAAGTATAAGTTACCTTAGTTATAACCCTACTTACCAAGTCCCAAGATCCTTTAAGAGGACTGAAGCCTCATGGAGCATGTAGATGTGGAGCCGGCCCGCCTGCACGGTTCAGGGTCGTGGGGCCTTATTCTAGGGGCCTTAATAACCAGAATAGGGTCTTGGGGCCCATGATACTATAATGGCCTTAATATAGGGGCCTTAATAACTAGAATAGGGTTTTGGGGCCCATGATACTATAATTATAGTAAGGAGCCCCCAAAATAGTGTCGGTAACATTTTAAGCCGCTACATTAGGGGATCGCGCGGGACAGGCTTGTTGGTGTCTTGATTGAGAATCATTCTGGAGTGCTTTCGAGGCTGCAGCGCATTGTGACTAGCACCTACCATCTCGGAGCACGGCAGCTTCAGAGTGGTGTGCAAAGCAAACAACATTTTGCAAGGCATCGAATATATATATATATATATATATATATATATATGTTGTGCACTCGGCATGCATTTATCCGCGTTCTCTTTAGCAGCAAGTCGCCACCGCCATGACTCAGATGTCGGGATCCTCCAAACTCGAAACCCCTCGATCCGGCCTGAAAACACCGCCGCTCTGCGATCCCCATGTGCCTCCTCTGCTTCTTTGGCCATGGTCTCCACGAAGGTGGCGTAGCCAGCGTTGTGGCCATTCCTGGCTCCGCGTTTAATAAGCTCCTCAAGGGATAGAATGGAGTTCTTTAGGCTAATCTCAAAGCCGTGTCTGAGCGCGGTGAGCAAAGGAAGCATGCACGGCCAAGGTGCTCATCCACGATTTTCTCCATCTTGGAATTGTCTCCTTGCGCTGAGTCACCGTGCATTGTAAGGCTCCCGAAGGTTTGGGTGTCGTGGAGCTTAAGGCAAGAAGCTTTTCATCACACAATCCGGGCCCAGCAAGTCCAAAGGCAAAGATAAACCCCAAATTCTTTCACGCAGTGCTCTTGACGACTTGGGATTGTAGCTTGTTGCAGCACATGTCCCTCAATCTAGTTCGTCAATGCAGAGATAGACGAGGGGAATCCCGCGGTGACAGCGTCTGGCAAGCTCTTCAACGGGATGACCCATTCTGACGCTTCTCGAATTCAAGCGAGCAAATTCCGCTTGTGGGCCTGCTCGGTTAGACCAATGGAGGCTCAACTGGGGCCTCGGGGGCTGCACAGCATGTGGGTTACAGAAGGGCCTATGTGAATGTAAACAGTATTCAGATGACTGTGGGTGCAGGTAACAGGTTAGCTACACTATGCAGTGTTCCGCATTCACGAACCCCCCAAAACCCCAAACACTGCCTGGGAAGGGATCGTAGAGAGCCGTCTTCAGCTTGAGGGCATCCTCGAGTTGGACACCAGAAGCATCTCTTTCCAAAAGGGCCCGGGAATTGCAAATCCTCCAAAACAGCTCCTAAAATCGATTACCTGCTTTGGCTCAAATCTCCTGGCAGGATATTCCCAAGAATCCCTCCGTTACAAGGACCTTCAGAAACGGAGCATTTCTTGTGATTTGCGAGCGAAACCAACTTGAAACCATCCATCCCAACATCTGCCCAACGGGACCAAAGTCCTTTAACACAAAAAACCATTTTAAGCGCGGCAGGCAACAACCTGGTACAGACGAGCCACGGTTTAGGGTTTTAGGGTTTGGGGTTTAGGGTTTTGGGTGGCCTGTTTTGGGGGGATGGCTTCGTGTAGCTTTATTCGGGAGCCCTAAGGAGCGCGACTAAAAACTTCTTCCGACTCAGCCCAAAAACCCCTAAACAGCACCCTCAAGCCTTGTGCAACCCTTACCACAAAGGCGCTATGATACCTAACGCCGAGGCCCCCTCGACCCAAAACCCAAAACCATACATGACACCAAAAACCCGGCCGTCTCCCCACTTAAGCCCACTGAACCCTGGAACCGAAACTTTCTGGGAGCTTCTCCGCATACGAGGCTTCATAGGCCATCTAGAGAGTAATATAGGGGCCTTAATAATTAAACTAGGGTTTCGGGCTTCTTTATAATATAATTATAACCAACACATCTTTAGAGTCCCTATTGAAAGCCCTTAAACCCTCGAGCCCGATCATCTTTAGAGTCACCAGCTTAAGGAAGAAACCCTAAACCCATAAACCCTAAGCCCCTACAGAAACCCTAAACCCCTCAAGAAACCCCAAACCCCTAAAGAAACCCCAAACCCCTAAACCCTGTTCCCTAAACCCTAAATCCCCTAAACCCCCTAAACCCTAAACCCTTTGCCCTAAACCCTAAACCCCCTAAACCCTAAACCCTTTAAGCAGAGTCCCGAAGTTCAACGCCCCAAACGGCCTTGATCAGGTGCCTGGCCAGCGGCGTCCACTCGCATTTCGTCTCCTTGCGCGATTTATGGCTTTGGGAAACTCTAATGTAAGGTTTAGGGTTTAGGGTCTAGGGTTTAGGGTGTAGGGTGTAGGGTGTAGGGTTTAGGGTTTCGGGTTTAGGGGTTTAGGGTTTACGGGTTAGGGTTTAAAGTTTAATTAGGGTCGGGGCCTAAATAATTACCTTTACTATTGTGAAGGTTCCTGTTATATACCCCCAAAACCTATTCTAAGTATTCAGGCCCCTACATTACGAGCCTCAGCCCCGGTTTCGGGTTTAGGACTTAGGGTTTTCGGTTTAGGGTGCAGTGTGTAGGGGCTAGCAACTTAAATCCTGGCTCTAGCCAAAACCCCAAAACTCGAAAACCCGAACCCTGAACCTTAAACCCCAGATTATTCTATAAACCCTAAACCCAAACCCCTAAAACCCGAACCCTGAACCTTAAACCCCAGATTCTTCTATAAACTCTAAACCCTATATAAGCCCAAAAAATGTATATAAGTAGCCACAAAGTATGCAGGCCAAAGGAATGGGGAGAACAGTCTCACCGGGCAGAGGCGACCCTTCTACGAACTTCGGCTTTGCAAAAACCTCTGGGCCAAATTAATGTAGGGGCCCTAATGATTAATGATTAGAATAGGGTTGCTTTAGAGGGATCCTTAAAAGGGTTCTATAACAGATCTGTAATAATAATAATAATAATAGGGGCCTTAGTAATCAGAATACTGTTTTGGTGGCATAATATACTGTACTCATAATAAGGAACCCCCAAAATGGTATAGGTAATTCTGAAGTATATAAGGCCTCAGGGCTCGGTTACTTTCCATCTCTGTCTCCCTGGCCTGGCCAATCTTCTCGCACTCCGGGACCGGGACGAAGCCTGTCTCTGGGTGGTCTCGGGTCTGATCTCTTCGATGGGGGTGTTCAGGGTTCAATATAGGGGCCCTAATAACCGGGATATATCTTACGAGAACTATAATAAGCAACCCTCGCAATATCATAGGCAATTATTGAGGCCCCTTTGTTACGAGCAGGGCTTTGTAGGGTTTTGGGGGTTTAGGGATAGAAAAGACAGGATTGAAAGCCAGACAAGGAGGGAATCATCTCGGACACACAGCCAGCAATATAGGGACTCTGAGCTTAGCATGATAGAGGCCTTACTGATTTGGGTAAAGGGTTTAGAGTTTAGGGTTTAGGGGCCTTACTGATTTGAACAAGGCTTGGGCGAATGATATGGTGCAGTCATGTATAAGGACTTTTGGTGAACACCTCACACTTAAGAACTGAAGAAGAAACCAATCAAGATCCAAACTTGGCCCCACCCTAAACCCCAAAACCTACCTTAAGAACCCAAAACC